ATATTTGCTACCAGGCCTCGCTATGCAGCTCAGACTCATAGTGATCCTCCCATCTCAGCCTCCCCAGTGCTGGGATTACAGGGGTGTGCCACCATGCCTGATTTCAGTGGCTGGCTCAGCACTAGACCAACACAGTATGCAGTACCCACTATCAAACCTGAGTCCTTGCACTTGCCAGGCAGGCAGTTAGACCAACTAGCTGTCTCCCCAGCCCCACAGCTTTTTCTTCTTTTTAAGTTTCAATTTCAGGAAATCAGATTTAAAATCGGTTTTATGGCAAAGCAGATGATTATTAAACTAAAACTTTACTAGTCCAACAGTTGATGCATTCTTGGATAAGTTGGATTTCTTGGTTGGTATTTTTTTTCTTAATCTAGATTCACTCAATGGATTTTGATGATACGTGGCACCCTGCTACCCACCCCTCTGGGGCTGTCCTTCCTGCCCTCACAGCTTTATCAGAAGCCGCACCTCAGAGTACTAAGTTTTCTGGCCTTGACCTGCTTCTGGCTTTCAACGTTGGTATTGAAGTACAAGGCCGATTAATGCGCTTCTCCAAGGAAGCCAGTGACATTCCAAAGAGGTATGGAGAGAATTCACCCAGAGGAGAACCAGTCACATTCTTCTTCTGCTGCTTTCCACATAGAGATTTCTGGTTTAGAGTCTGGCTGTGCTGAGGAGGCGAGCAGATGGGCTGGGTATTCCACTCACATACCGAACACAGTGTCCATACACAAAAACATAATTTCATAAGTATAATAAAAAGTCCTTTGGGTTTAGAAATCAAATCAAGCATCCAGGACCAGGAAATAATTGGAGTCTCTCATCTCAAGGTGACTCGGCTCACTTTAGCACTCATGAGTAAACTGAGTAGTCTCAATCCCATCCTCACAATAAAATCTGCTCTGTTGTTCACTAGGTTCCTTGAAATTAGTGAAGACATTGAGAATATCCTAACTGAGGCTGTAAATCCCACAGATCAAAAATGGCAAACATTGGCTAAATCACATGGTTTGATCTAATGTTTACTCGGCCGTTTGGCCCAGCCTCCTCAAAGAACAATATGCTGGAATGCAGAGGAGTGAACTTTCAGTTTCCATCAGGAATCAATTTTTTTGTTGTTGTTGTTTTTCTGACAATAACTGTACCATTTATTTTAAAAAAATTGCTGTATACTGAGCGTTGCTATAAATACATGCTTTCATTCAAAGCTCCCAAAGCCTGTGAGTACACACTATTATTATCATTTTTTATAAGAAGAAAACAAATGCACAGAAGTTGAGTAAGTTTCTCAAGGTCCCACAGCTAATACATGAAAGAGCTGAAATTTGAACCAAAGCCATATGACACCGTCATTAGTAGTACCCAGGACTACCTCCTTATGATATGTTCTGTAAATATCTGATTCTGGTTTGCTTTTCAGATTTCATCCTCCCTCGATAGTAGGAACTTTGGGCAGTGCTGCTGCTGCGTCCAAGTTCCTGGGGCTCAGCCTGGTGGAGTGCAGAGAAGCCCTGGCCATCGCTGCTTCTTTTGCTGGAGCACCCATGGCAAATGCCGCCACTCAGACCAAGCCCCTTCATATTGGCAATGCTGCCAGACATGGAACAGAAGCTGCTTTTCTGGCAATGCTAGGTCTCCAAGGGAACAAGCACATCTTGGACCTGGCAAGAGGCTTTGGGGCCTTCTACACCAGCTATTCCCCTAGAGTCCTTCCAAGCCTGGAGTCCCACAGTTGGCTGCTGGATGAGCAGGATGTAGCCTTCAAGCGTTTCCCTGCACATTTGGCTACCCACTGGGTGGCAGAGGCGGTCGCATTGGTGCGACAGCACCTTGTGCTTTCAGATGGAGCCCTGCTTCCTACAGACCACATCGAGAAAATTGTGCTCAGGGTTCCAGATGTCCAGTATGTAAACAGACCCTTCCCTACCTCAGAGCATGAAGCCCGTCATTCCTTCCAGTATGTGGCTTGCACTGTGCTTCTTGATGGGTGCATCACTGTTCCATCATTCCACAAAGACCAGGTCAGTAGGCCACAGGTGACAGAATTGCTCAGGAAGGTGAAACTAGAGCATCCTTCTGACAACCTGCCAAGCTTCAACACACTGTACTGTGAGGTCAGTGTCACTCTTAAGAATGGACGTACATTCTCTGAGCACAGCAGTTCCTTCTATGGTCACTGGAGGAATCCACTGAACCAGGAGGACCTACAGAAAAAGTTCAGGGCTAATGCCACTGGGGTGCTGCCTCCCAACACATTGGAAAAGCTTATAAAGACAGTGGAAAAGCTGGAAGATCTAGAAGACTGTAATGCACTGACCACACTTTTAAAAGGACCAGAGGCCACTTCAAAACATCCGTCCTGTAATCATCCCATTGCACAGTCCCTGCCCAGGCACACCAGCATCTGAACCTCTCCACCTCTTGGGAGATTCAATAATCTGCTTTATAAACCAAGGGACTGCTGCTTGGTCTACTGGAGAATAAATGAGGAAAGAGTTCAGAAATTTTATATATATATATATATATATATATATATATATGGAGTCTTATCTAGTAATTTTTGCAATTACCTCCAGAATAATATTGAAGAAACAAAAAATGATTCTTATAAATGCTCTCAAGGCTAAAGTCTAAGTCAACTGTGATTTGCCTAGAATCATCTTTTCAGAAGAATTATTCATGCGCTTCAGAGGAAGATAGGCCCGCATGCTGTTTGCTGGTGCTGGAGCAAGACTCTGCTCTGGTGTGTCCAGCAGTGTCCCCTGCACTTACAGTGCAAGGGGCGCTACTAGGGGACCACTGGGTTTACATCCTGCTTCTGCTACTTTTCTCACATAGCTTAACTTTCTCCATTTGCAGAGTAAAAAGAAAAAAGTAGTTGGGAGAAAAAAGCACTTTGGCTCTGGAATCTGTGGTCTTAAACTTCACGGTATATTATCTCTTTGTACAAGAGTTTTTGAGAAAAATGCTACCAATGACAAGTCAGAGACTTAATAAAGGATGAAACATGGGGAGAGATAAATGTGTAATTTCTATATGAACTACATAAAGTAATAACAATTTTATCTTTGATATTAAACTGCAAAAGTAGCAATCTTAGTGCCTTCTAAATTACCAGTGGTATTCAAGAAAAGAGTAAAGCCTCTAACTGAAAACATGGATCTGGAAGAATGCATATCAAAATTTCTAGGGTAATCATTTGAAAAGCACAGAAGCCTGTATCAGTTGCAGGAAATAGGGAGAAAATAGGATGGGAAAAAAATAATACAAGGAAAAAAAAAGGGAAAGGAAAGATATATTAAAAAGTTATCACATACAGAACACACCATTGGTAGAAATCCAAGTATATTTATAGTTACATAAAAAATAAATGTCCAAGTAAGATCAAGCTTATCTACACTATTTTTAAATACCAGCTTTACTGATATTTAATTTACATAAACATTAATTCACTAATCTTAAATGTAGTTCAAACAACTTTAGTACATGTATAAGATTATGCAAACATCATTCTAACCCAGTTTGGAATACTTCCACTACTTCAAAAAATACCTTCATGAGGCCAGCCAAATAACTCAGCAGATTAAAGTGCCTGTTTAGGAAGACGCAGTGGCCCCAGGGCTCAATCCCCACCATACCGTGTACACCCCACCCCCAGGGTGCAATGTCAGGGCCATGGAGACTGGGCATGGTGGTGCACGCCTGTAATCCCAGCACACCTTGTAATCCCAGCCAGATCACTATGAGTCTGATCTTCATAGTGAGACCCTGTAGACCCTTACAAAAAAAAAAAAAAAAATCCCTTCATACTCCAAATCTATTTGAAAGCAATCTCCACTCCACCTTTAGCTCTTCAGTTACAGTGATCTTTCATTCAATAGTTTGTCTTTTTTGGATATTTCTTACAATTGGAATCATACAGTGGGCAGTTATTTGTGCCTGACTTCTTTCACTTCGCATGAAGTGCCACTGTGCACGCATGGGAACTTTATTCCTTCATCGCTGGGTGGCAGCCCATGTCATGGACACACCACATTTTGTTTGCCCATCACTAGCTAATGGGAGTTGGACTGATCCCAGTTGAAGCTTCTCTGAACATTTCACATTAAAGTCTTCACATGTGAACTATACTCCCGTTTTTCTTGGGTAGACAGCTAGGACTGGAAATGCCAGGTCTTTGGTAAATGTATGTTTAACTTAACAAAACAAATATTTTCCAGTAGAAAAGGAGATAATTATAAAAGCCCAAATACATTTATAAATAAAGAAACCTTTTACTAAATAACTCTTGGGTCTCACGAGAAGCTATAATGAAAACTGTAAGACATTTAAAACTAACCAATGACTATATATATATATATATATATATATATATATATATATATATACATTAAAATTATAGGAATGTAGCTAAAGTTGAGGTACTTAGAAAAGTCTAGTTGTCTCTGTATCCCTTCGAATATGGTCTTCCATAGGGCATGTGTAACTGATGAACTCGAATGCAGTTGGTTGAGGTGGAAGCGGCTCCTACTGCGACCTTGAGGCATCACCTCATCAGTGTCCTGGGCTTCTACAGAAGCTCCCCCTAAGGATCAGCCCCAACCACTGGGAAACCCACCTGGGCTTGGACCCACGGCTCTGGCTCAGCTAGAGTTTCAGTCCAGCTCCTCCCTGCACTTCTACGTCCTCTGCACACATCCAGAGCCCTGGATCAAACTGTGTCAGTCAAAGGCACACCTCTGCCAGCTCTCAGGAGTCCTAGTGCTGTATTTGGGGATCCTCAAGACCACACACACACTGGTGATTCATTAGAAGGTGTCAACATACAGTAATCCTCATGACTCGGGATTATCATGGCACCAGGACAAGTGTCAAAACAGTAGGTGAAAACGATTCAGGCAAGTGCTGGTGAAATGCATTCCCAGATCTCCAGTGTTCTCCCTGCCCTGAGGAGAAGCACTGGGTATACTCCCTTTTCTCAGCAATGACAAATTCAGTGATGTATATGCAATGTTTTTACTTTAGCAGAGACTCCATACTGAAGGATTTTGTTGGTGGCTGGGTAAGGTAGGTACCCTCTGCCTAGCAATAAGCAGAATTCTAGACTCCAAGAAGGAAAGCAGACATCCAATGAAATCATTGTTTGCAGCAAACTATCCTTAGCAGCCAGGGAGTGGGTCCAGTGCTGAGTTGCCAGATGCCAACCAAGGTCCTTACAAGGGCCAGCCCTGGAACAGCCCTAGGAAAGCAGCAGCCTCCGTGTGCTGGGATCACTCCTTTCTGTGCAGCTTCCCCACTCTGATGCCACTTTTCATGATCCTGAAGTCTTTAGGATAGAAAAACTAAACTTTTCCTTCCCTTTAGGCACTCACACTAGCATGGCTCCTGAGATTTATGACGTGTGTGTTTTATTAGCATTTAACTGAACCCAGCTCAGAGCAGGTTTAAACCCACAAACCAGAGCTGTAAAGATTTTACTGCATCATGGAGCCAGTGACATAATTCAGTGGCATAAGCGCCTGCCTGGGATGCACAGGTCCTGAGCCTGATGCCCTGTACCAAAAGAGAGATTTTACCACATCACTCAAAATCAGCACCCATGGGTTTTAAAGGTATTTATTTATTTATTTATTTATTTATTTATTTATTTATTTGCTACAGGGTCTCGCTACACAGCTGGGACTCATAGTGATCCTCCTGTCTCAGCTTTCCCAGGGCTGGCATTAGAGGAATGCACCACCACACTCGGTTTTGGTGGTTGGCTCAGTGCCGGGCCCACACACCACACTGTATTTGGTCCTTGCGCTTGCCAGGCAGAAGCTTAGACCACCAAGCTATCTCCCCAGCCCTAAAAGGACTTTTATAAGTGACATTTTATAACTACGGTCATTGGAAGGCTTTATTTAAAAATATAGAGAGATATAGAGATGGATATATGTAGATATCACAATCCGGTAGAGCCTTAAGATAGGTCCATGTGACCACTTTAAGGTCTGTGATAGCCTATACAGAGAAAGCTCTTTGGGGATTCTTGGGAAATTCAAGGCTAGCCTGAGATACATGGTACCTGAACTACATAATGCATCATTACCTGAAAATATGTATAGAATTAATAGGCACTAGTTATAAAGGAAAAAAAGAACTAAAATTCATGTAGCCTTCTAGTTCAATCATAAATGCAGAAATTGACATTCAGACAGCACAATCTTACTATAAAATTCTACCCAACTTTTGTTGCAGACATTATTAAAAACAAGTCAGCTATAATAACTGACTTTACAATTTCATCTGTAGGTAAATGGATGAAGAAAATGTGGTGGGGACATGTGCTGGAATGCTATTCTATCACAAAGAAGGATAAACTGGAGTCATTTGTTGGAAAATGGATGCACCTTGAGGCCATCATGTTAAGTGAAAGCAATCAGACACACAGCTTAAATATCACATGATTTCTATTACATGAAAAAAGCTGAAATATAAGAGCAAAGTGAAAGATGGAAATAGGGAGTGGGAAGATAGATCTTTCTCAGATGGGCAAGGAATCAAGAGATGGAGGGAAGGGGGTGGAGGGGAGGAGGATGAAGAAAGATTAGGATGTGTCATGTAGCTGGACCAACTCCCCACAGAGATATAAACATGCACTGCAAGCTTATGGACTTTAAAAAGTTAAAAGGCTGGCAGATAGCTCAGCAGACTAAAGCACCTGCTTAGGCAAAGCGCAGGTACTGGGGTTTGATTCCCAGTGCCACATGCTGTGCCAGCCCCACCCCCAGAGCGTGCTGAGAAGGCAATTGAGACTGGGCGCTTGGGAGGTTGAAAACAGGAGGATCACTACAAGTCTGATCTGTGTAGTGAGACCCTACAGACCATGTACTAAATACATTTTTTTTAAAAAGTTAGCTTTCAAATCAACAAGTCAACCACCCCAAGGACAGCGGGCCCCTCTGAAGAAGTGGAGCTGGGGGTTCAGGAGAAACTCTGGGACCACACTGAAGTGACAGGATATGTATTCCTTTCGGTTATAGCTCAAATGTTTTCACTTGAACAATGTCTTCTACACAGAATAGCTAAACCACCATTTTTCAAACATGCTGTAAAACATTTCTGTCATTTTTCCTATCTCATCAAAAAGATGCTGCCACACACTCCTGCATGCATGCACAGGTGGGTACCCTTTGGTTGCCGGCGCCTCAGGGCATTTCCTCCCTGATTACATGAAGGATTTGGTATTGCAGGAGTTCTGTCTTGTTTAGCAAACCTGCTGGAAAAGAAAACCTAACTGGGTGGGTGGAAATGTTCCTCAGGAGCTTGATGGAGAGATTGGGAGAGGGTTAAAATCGTCAGCTCACTCGGCACTGCAGAGTTCAAAACAGCGCTCACAGCCCCTGTACACATGAAAAATCTGCGGCACAAGAGGCGTCATTTAGATATCCAGTCACCAAGAGAAATGAGCTGCACTTAGGGTCGGCAGGAA